GAGTATGAAGGGATGGACACTGGGAGGAGGTAACTATGGGGAGGAAGTGGGAGGGGAGCTGCTGCATTGTAAATTTTGATCAGTGACATGAGACAAAGTATATGTGAACTGCTGTATGAAAAGTGAATTTACTCTGTAAATCTTCACCCAAATCCTAATTAAAAAAAAAAAAGAAAAGAAGCCACCAGAAGTGCTGGCAGTGCGGTCCTGCGTTCTCTGCAGGCGGGATCACGTTTTGTACTCTGGTTGCTCAGTGCCTCACACACAGCAGGCGCCTATCAATGATAAACAGCAAAAACCGCAGACGTACCAGATCAGAGGCTTCCACTTTGCCCAGGACTCACTCTGCCCTGTGACCAGCACACAAACACAACTGTATAACCAACCGAGAACTTTCACAAAGAGTCTGTAGCCCTACCCTCTGGGAGGTGGCATCAACAGTTAAGTGGTTGACTACGAGCTAAAAGTCAGGAGTTCGAGCCCATCTGGAGGTGCCCTGGAAGACACTGTATGGGACATTTCTACTCTGCATACATTGGGTGTCCATCAGTCACAACTACCTACCTGTGATGCACTGAGACAAGCATACTCCCAGTACATGGATTTTGCCCAGTTTGGAAAACCATGTATAACATCACTTAGCAGATGCTGCAGCACTAAGAGATTTGAAAGGGTTAAATGCACGACCATTTTCCTAATATTGCAGAGGGGTGGCTGGCTAAATGCATCAGATGCTAGCTACACTTGCCTCTGAACTGTGTTACTATTTTTAAAAATCTTCCTGAGCCCCAGAATCTTGTTTCTTTAAATTTCTTAGATTAAAACAACAACAACAACAAAATCTGGTTTCTCTCTCTCATCATCCCGGCTGGATCTCCTTTCAATTCTCTGGTGCTCAGATGAAAAACAGACAACCTACTGTAAACAGTTGAGTAATAAAGACAGGAGATAACTTTAATAGGCTCCAAAATGCAAATCAGAATTTGTAAGTAAAATTCCAACGTCTAGATTTACTCTTAACAAAGGTCTTGAGAGCCCAGAGTTGGAGAAGTATCTTAACACCCCCAAACACAAGGGAGAGAAAAAAGTCAAAGCCAAGTCGTGTGAGTGTGTGAAGCGAAATGTAAATAGCTCAGCAACCCAACCCATTTTCTCAGTAGCAACCGGGACAACTGTTGTCCCAGAGAAAACATTTTCATGGTGGTCAGCAAGGAATGAGTCATATGCTTTTAAAATGGGTTAAATCGATGTGATAACAGAATACTTTTCATTAGTAAGACACAAACCAACACATATGACAAGGCTACCTTAGCTAAATAGCCACCCCCGCGTGTAAGATAACATAGCTACTTTAGGTTTCAAAGTGGTGAAAATTCTTTCTGGAGAAATACAAGGAGGTATAAAGCCCTTTCATAATGAATGAGATTCAGTGTTTGCAACTGACTATCCCAAAGTCTCCAACAAACAGCGGCAGAACAAAGGGCCTTTTCCATTTGTAAAAAGACACGAATAAGCCGGCACACTTTGAACAATCAAATGGAATGGCCAAAGAATGCATTGTGCTCAGGCATTACCTATTGTCTTTTAAGATCCATACATTATGTATTCTCGTGGTCCTTGAGATAGGGCATACGTAATTAATGACAGCTTGAGACCATTTTCATACTGCCATCTGAGCAAAACTGCTAAACATGCATGGCCACGGATTCCGCCAAATGAAGGGAAAACACACAAGGACTGGGGAAAGCGGCGATTTCTCCAGACCATAAACTATGCTTTAAATGACAAGGCAGGCTGCACCAAGATGCATGACTTTCCTGCATGGCCTGAAACAAAGCTGTATCATCAGGTAGGAAATGGGGCGTGGGGGGGTGAGCTACAATGCCCCGCTTCTACCACCCCGATCAATTAACAGAGCACAAAGCACGTTTTGTTTGGGGAATGAATGAGGACGGCCTCCTTCCACGCATTTTATTACAACTTGAAAGCAATGGCCTACTGCCATGAAGGATGCTCAGTGGGTTCCAACAACCCAGTGTCCAGTCTGCGTCAGGAGCAATCCACCCGACTCAACATCGGTCACCTTGACGCTGAGGACACTGAGCAAGTCTGAAGTCTTCATCACGGCAGCCTGTCTACCACCACGGAGCAAACAAAGGCTCTTTGTAGCAACGTCTGGAAACATGACATGAGACCATTCTTCACACCGTAAGAATTGAAAAATAGTTCACCAAGTGAACCAAAGGCTTTATTTTTTAAAAGCAGAAAAAACCCAAAGCACTGTCTGGGTATCCATACTTATTGCGAAAATAATTACTGAAATTTGCGAAACATCAAGTGAATAAGCGGAATCAACAGTTATGGCTATAATTTTCAAGTGATACACAGATTTTGCCCAAGGCCTAGGTTTGATTTCTATGCAATGTAATTCACATGTGTTCCTGTGACAATTTATTACCAAAAGAGGGACATGAGGAAGTCTAACCTGGCCTTGTCTTGAGCTCAAAGATGACACAGCAGGTCCCCTAGAACTTGGCTTGCTGCTTGGACCCCAGAAGTCATGTCTCTGACGTGACATAGCAAATTGTATTCCCTTATAGTAAACTCAGCTTTAGCCCCCTCTGAAGCAGGCCAGGTCTGCACGCCCTTCAACACCAGCACCTGGACCACCCTCAAAGGTGCCTCCCCTGTCTTTCCAACCACAGCACCAGGGACCCGAAAGGGCCCCACTTTGAGGGTTCACTGTAGAGGGTTTTAAGAACCACACTAAACCCAATTAAAGGCAGTGGAGGAAATGACTCACTTCCTTTTTCTGTTTCAAAAACTATATATAAAGTGAGAAGGTAGTGGTAAATGTAAAAAATGCTATCAGCCAATCGGTGATGGAAAACGGCTCTGTGAGTCCCTCCTTTTAAAATCCTGTTCAGAGGTATTTAACACCAAAAGGAGGCCATGCAAACTGTTCGTACAATTCCTGCACGAGGACAAAGCCCTTCGTGGAAAGCGGCCTTAGGGTCTGGTACAGAGAGCCAAGAAAAGGCAGAGAATGACAGGATCCTAACACACGCTCATGACTTCATAGCTGTGTGTCCAGCGGGTGTTAACAGCCCCTCCTTGTATTTAAAAATTAAAGTGAATTTGTGTGCTAATGAAAAGTCGGCAACAGACATAATCAGAGACAAGCCCTTCAAGTCTGGAAGGCAAGATTTGTGTCACCGGGGTGGGGACGGGATGCGTAAGATGGTAGGCACTCAAGGCTGGGTCCACCCCATTCGGGCCAGGACAGTCTGAAAACATAAGGCAACGTGTGGCTTCTCAGCTTGAGCCCACCACCAGAAGGGGCCCCTGAGGCAGGGGAAGGAGGCAGCCCACGGCAGGTCCCCGGAAGATAGACAGGGCAACCACCCTGGTTAGGTGGGATGAGCTGGGGTCACAGGTGGACAGGTGACCCCTGAAGCCACGCTTGCGGTGAATGTCCGCATATCCTGTGCACATCTCCAAGCAGCAATGTCTGGGTTTGGCGGTTTGTGACCTTTGATGATAGACCCCTGGAGAGCTGCGACCACCCCCAGGGTGGGGCTGGCTGAGAGTCGGGAAAGGCTTCTTGCAGCGCACAGCTCCCTCCGCCGTCTGCCGAGTCCTACAAACGCTTGTAGGTGCCCAGGAGGGCTTTACAGTTTGGGCAGTAGTGGTCCACATCCTGCAGGGCGTCCACGCAGAAGGGGATGAAGCAGCAGCCCGCCACGCACCTGCAGGAACAAGACGGCCGTGCACCGGCCACGTCACCAACCACAGCGGGTGAGCAGTGGCCCCAAAAAGATGTCCCCGTCCTGACCCCCAGAACCTGGCAATAGGATCTGATTTGGGAAAAGGGCATCTGCAGATATCAATGTGTTAAGGATCTCGAGACAAGATCATCTTGGATTTAGGGTGAGTTCTAAATCCAATGACCAAAACTCAAAAGCAAACCCCTGTCCTCAACCCAAAGGCAAGCCCAGTTGTTACAGAGCAGAACCGAGCTTCACAGGGTTTTCTTGGCTGTGATCTTCACAGAAGCAGACTGCCAGGTCTTTCTTCCACATGACCTCTGGATGGAGTCGAACCACCAACCTTTAGGTGAGCAGTCAAGCACCAACCATTTATGTCACCTGTTGTTATGTGCCGTCTAGTCGGCCCCAACTCATAGTGACCCCTCCTTGGGTTTCCAAGGCAGTATCACTACGGAAGTAGGATTGCCCAACCTTTTAAATCCATCGACAGGTATCCTCAGGAGAGAAGACAAGGAGAGACTGGAGACACACAGACAGGAGACAAAGGAGGGATAATGCCATGTGGAGACGGAGACAGAAAGCGGAGGGATGCGGCCACAAGCCAAGAAACGCCTGTAGCCACCAGAAGCCAGAAGAGAGGAAGGATCCTGCCCTAGAGCCTTCGGAGGGAATGCCCCTGCTGACACCTTGATTTTGACTCCTGGCACCCAGGACTGAGCATAATACACTTCTGTTGTTTCAAAGCCACCAAGCTTGTAATCATTTGTTATTGCTGCTACAAAAAACCAAAACCAAACTCACTGTTGTTGAGTTGGATCCGACTCATAGCGACCCCTCCTTGGGTTTCCAAGGTGGTATCTCTATGACAGTAGATTGCCTAGTCATCCTTCCGAGGAGTGGCTGGTGGGTTTGAACCTCCAGCCTTCTGGTGAGCAGTCAGATGCCATAGGCCCTACTGCCGCTACAGGAGATGAATAACCAGACCAATGCCAAAGCTGCTCCCAGCAGGGGGCCGGTCCTGGGTATATTTTCAAAGCCTGGGTCATCTGGGTAGCTTAGGTCGGGGTGAGCAAACTTTATCTGAAAGGGGCCAGGGAGTAAACAGTTTAGCCTTTGTGGGCCATCTGTGCTGTCCAACTCTGTCCCTCGTAGCCTGAAAACCATCAGAGGCAATGCGTGAATAAAGCGGCATGGTTACACTGGAATAAAACTTAAAACAAGCCGTAGGCCAACTTTGGCCTTAGGGCCACAGTTTGCTAACTCCTGCCTAAGGCTATAATTTTCTTAAGATTCTTTTTCAGATGGAAAGGCTCCTTCTTATTGCCACAACCAAATCAAGTTCCCTAAGGAACACCTCTCGTAACCTACAACAACAGTCACAGCAAAGACAGGCAGCATCTTCAAACAGCCTCCTGGTCGGGGTCTGCCAAAGATGTAGTTAAAAAAAAAACAAAAAAAAAACACCTCAACATTTTATAGAAAGATACTGACTCATACAAAGCAGATTCTGAAACTATTCAGATGATAAAAGTACCTTGTGAAAGAAAGGTTCTCCAATTGCCTAAGTAGACCAAAAGTTCAAATAAGGGCCAGTCGGTCCATTCAGAGACAACCTTTACCTGTGTGGTTTACCTGTGTGGTTGAGCGTTCTGGTTACCTAGTGCGCTCTAACAGAAATATACCACAAATGCAATGGCTTTAACAAACAGGAGTCTATTCTCCTACAGTATGGAGGCTTTAAGTCCAAGTTCAAAGTGCCAGGTTCTAGAGGCTAGGTGAAAGGCTTTAGCTCTGCCACCTGCTCAAGGCCCACTGAAGCTGGAGCCTTTTCTTCACTCAGCTGCTGGCTGCTGAGGCTGACAAGCCCGAGGTTGACAGTAAAAAGACACAGTCCCGATGTTACCAAACCACATGGCAGGCCATGAACTCAAGTTCAGAAGAAGCCCCAGGATCAGCAGGGCATGGCAGGCTGCTGAACGACTCGGCTACATCCAGGGTTCAAGGGTCCCACAAGCTACAGACCATTCCCAAAGCTGCTTCCTATATACAGGAAGCAGACCACATACCCAAAGCAGCTACTCAGCTGCTTGTGGTAGATCCCACCATGGAGTTGACTGCCAGTCTCATCATGGGGAATAACTACCACCAGCTGCCCAGCCACTCACCCAGGCCCAGCCAAGCTGACACCCAACTTTAACCCGCCACGGGGTGGCTCCAGGCAGCACTGCACACACACCAACTCATTTTAGCTTCAGCAACCCGAGCCAGACATTATTACTGTCCTCGGTTTACAGATGAGGACACAGGAGCACAGAGAAGTGAACGCAGTTGTCCAAGGACACACAGCTAATGAGGCAGGATTTGAACCTACTCTCCCATATTTAAGGGAAAAAAGGAAGGACAGACAAGTTCAAAAGTTCAATCAGCTGAAGTCAGCACTCAAGATAGCTTCCATTCTGCCCTTCCTTGAAATCTTTTGCTTTTTTTTTTTTTCTTTTCCCCAGGCATTTTTTTCTTCAGAGGCTCTTTGACCAACCATCACAGGCAGCATGATCGCGTCATTTCCCTGCACATTTGTGTACTGGAGAACAAGAAAGGAAGACTGGTAGCAAGATAGCAACTAGTGGTTTGTTAAAAAAAAAAAATACTGTCATATGATAGATAAAACAGTTTTGAAAACCCAAAGTGGCATTCAAGGTCACGTGGGACAGTTTCGTTTGCATCTTATCACAGGCATGCTCTCACCAAGGCTGTGGTCTCTCCTTGATGTCTGACATAAAAACTAGTTTGATACCAAAGTCAGTGAACTTTTATTGAGCATTTTCTGCCCAAGGGATGAAAGCCACCACCAGAAATGGAGTTCCATGGCTGGAACAGGGACGCGGGGCACAAGACACGTTGTTTTTAGTCTCGTCTCTTCCCCAGTTAATGCATGAAGGATGTTGATGAATCTCTCTGGAGTTTTGAGTTTCGCTTTGAAATTAGGAAGAGAAATATTGTTCCTTCTCGAGGAGCAGGAGATGAGGAGGAAGGGGCTAGCTGTATAAGCACCTTCCAGAAGGACACCCACCAACATCACTTCTCTCAAGGAAGAAGGGAGCTCCCTCCCCCGCTACAAGGAGCCCCAGTGGCAAAGTAGTTAAGTGCTTGGATGCTAACCAGAAGGTTGGTGGTTCGAGCTCACCAGGGGCTTGGTGGGAGAAAGATGTGGCAGACAGCTTCCATAACGATTACTGCCTTGGAAACCGTATGGGGAGGTTCTTCTCTGACTTCTAGGGGCGCTGTGAGTCAGAAACGACTCCACGGCGGTGAGTTTGGTCTGGGCTTTGCTTCCGTAAAGACTGACCACCTCAGAAACCCTGTGGGGCAGTTACACTCTGTCCTCTAGGGGTGCTGTTGAGTCGGAATCAACAGCAACAGATTTCGGTGGTTCGGTCCCTTCTACGTACAACACAACATACACCAATGGTTCCCCAAATGGCTCACACGGCCAGGGACAAAAGGACGCTACGTTTACCTGCTCAGGAAAAAAAAAAAAATGTCTTTCCTCAAATTTCTCTCCAAGAGCAGAAACTATTATCTCTTTAAATATAATACCCTTGGTGCAGACATAAATATTTACACAATCCCCCAGGAAAGGCAATGAGAAAAATACTTGAGGTCATAAAAGGATACGAGGTTTAGAAGAGATTACTATGAAGTGTTTTAACATACAGACTGTTTAAAGGCTCTCTCCAAGTCAAGCAAACATCATTACTGAGGTCATGAAAATCTAGAAGAAAAGCAACCCCTCAGGGTATTGCCCTACACAGACGCAGGCGGCCATGACGCTTGTCCCTACACGCACAGAGTGGATGATTTAGCAGAAGGCAGGCCAGCATAGCAACTGCCAGGTGCTGATATGCAAGGCTGGTGAATCTCAACTGTAGACAAGCGTGTCCCCCAGTGGGCAGTTGGCAATGTCTGGAGACAACTGGGGTGTCACAGGTGGGAGCAGGGGGACGCTCCTGGCATCTGGTGGGTAGAGGTCAGGGATGCTGCTCTATATAATACCGAAGACAGCCTACATGACACAGAATGATGTGGAGCCCTTCCCCGCTGGTGCCGTGGTTACAGGGCTCAGCTGCTAACTGAAAGGTCAGGGATTCCCACCTACTAGAGATTCTGCAGGAGGAAGATGTAGCAGTGTGCTTCCACAGGGATCACAGCCTTGGGAAGCCGATGGGGCAGTTCCAGCCTCACCCACAGGGTGCTACGAGCTAGAGCCGATTGGACAGCAAAGATATTTTTAGTTTTTAGTTTTGATTTCTTTTAGGACAAAGGGACAGGAGCGCCCAGGGGGCCCGTGTGGGCCAGAGACTGACCCCAGCAGACACAGGCTCCCACAGGAGAGCCAGGTGAGGGCGCCGGCGTTATAGGACAGCCGTGTCACGATCATCTTGTTGCAGGAGGGGCAGCACATCTGGACCGGGCGGTCGAAAAACGAGACAGGCTGCTGGACATACACGGTCTGCACGGCAACTGATGGGGAACAGGAGACACAGCGGTCAGCAAACAAGGGAAACATCCGGCAAAGACAACCAGGGGAGAGAAAGCAGAGGCAGACCTCCACAATTACACTGTGGGGGTTCTCAAAACCTCTGCACACAGAACAGGGGATGGGACTGTGCATGCCTGGAAAAGGGCCTTGGCTCTGTGACCAGACATCCAAACTTGACTGTCCACAGAACCACTTAGGGCCTTACTGAAAATGCTGATTCCTGAGCCCTGCCCCCCTGAGAGTCTGACTGAGCAGGGCTGGGGCAGGCGCCCAAACTGCCTTTTCATGCCTCCTACGTGATTCTTCTAAGGTGGTCCGAAGATGGTAATTAGAAACACGGTGATGGGACGGGTTTCAGTCTCAGTTTTTTTACCTGGAGATTAGTGGTCACCAGGTGCATGGGAGGGGACTGCTAATGGATTCAGGGTTTTGGTTGGGGGGTGATGGAAATTCTGGAATTGCATAGTGCTGATGGCTGTACCACTTTGTGACTATGTTAAACATCTCCAGATTGTATACTTTCAAAAGGTAAAGTTGATGGTAAGCGAATTAGATCTCAATCAAGCTGTTACTCAGAAAACAGAAATAATAGTGCTGTTGCAAGAATCAGATGTGACTCTAAAGAGCTCACGCTGTGTCTCTTATGGGGTTAACCCTTGACTAAACAATCCACTTTTTCACACAGCTCCTTGAAGAATCCAATACGCAATGATAAGGGTAGTGTTTACTAAGCCGGGGAACGCTGACCCAGCTCTTTAGGATGCTAAGCTGGCGAACCGTGTTGATACACGAAATCAGCGTATGAAATAATGGTAAGAAGGGAAAGCTATGCGAAAACATGTAAGGGCATCTGCAACAATCAGAAGGGAATCTGCACCGATGGAAATTATTAGGCACTTAGGGTTCAGTGGGTTCTTTGTTTCTTGGCAACGTTTTTAAGCTCCTATTTCTGTCAGAGTGACTTCCTTCTGTTTCTCTTTGCGTTGTTCGAATGCCATTCTTAGAATCTTTACGTGAGGGGGAGTGAACAAACGCCCACCACGAACTGAACAGCCAAAGAACCTCCTTCCAGAAGAGCAGCAGTACTGGAAGCCGCTTCAGCACCTGCACGTAAATTGTCGTGTGTTTGCTGTTGCTGTTCAAGAAAAGCTCTTTACTTACAAGGGGACCTACATCTCTGAAGTTATTATCCCACCCACTGTAACTACAAGGCAGGAACAGTAACACCACCGCCACCGCCACCACCACCACCAGCTACCTTCAAGTTGACTCTCACTCATGGCAACCCCCTGTGTGTCAAGAGCAGAACTGTGCTGCCCATAGGGTTTCCAATGGCTAATTGTTTCCAAAGCAGATTGCCAGGTCTTTCTTCTGAGGCACCCCTGAGCGGATGTGCGCCTCCGACCTTACAGATGGCAGCTGTGTGCACTAACCACCCAGGGGCTTCACTGAGAAAAGCAGCTCACTGTTCTCAAATGGTTACCTTGTGCCTGGCACACAGAACCTTACTGAACCTTAACAGCTCATGGTGGAGATAACTTCGGGAAGCCTGTTTACAGATGAAATGAACCCTGGTGGCAGAGTGGTTAAAGAGCTCAACTGCAAACCAAAAGGTGGGAGGTCTGGACCCACCCAGTGGCTCCTTGGGAGAAGGATCTGAGGATCTGCCCCTGTAAAGATGCAGCTCAGGAAACCCTACAGGGCAGCTGCACTGTCACATGGGGCCACTGTGAATCTTAATCAACTCAGTGGCAATGGGTGATGGGAAACGGAGGCACCGGGAAGTTAACTGAACCCAGGCAGAGTGTGACTTCCAGGCTCACTCTCTGAGCTAGTACTTCCTGAATGCTCGTGAAACTGAATCAGCTACACACCTGGGCACACCAGGCAGCACGAAGTACCAAGTCAGGGACCGTGAAGAGGCCGCTCCAGGGCAGAGAGCAGCCTGCACTGCAGGTGAGCCGTGGGGGACTCCACTCACCCGTTTTTCATTCCCGGCTGCTGCTTCTCCCTCTCCTACTCCAGCTCTGGCTCTGGGGCAATGGTTCTCTCTTAAACCTCGTGAGCAAGGGTGTGGGCCCTTTAAACACAAACTCCCACTAAATTTCTCTGGCATAAACCGCTGGCTGAGCCATGGGATGAGCTGACAAGTTACTGATGTATGCTGGACGTAGTCCTGCACCGTGAACAACCACGCACTCATCCAGTGTACCCTCAACAACTGCATATGAAACTCCCAGAGAAGGGCCACGGGGCGCCAGTAGGCACTTAGCTAGAACTCTTTCAGTAGAGTCACTTTGACCCCTCTCCTGAGGCCCAAGACATCCCCAAGGCCAGGGTGGAGGGCTGAGGAGTGGTAGGGAGGGGCCTGGGCGACCACACATACTGGCACTGGCGTTGGGGACGGGCACCGGCTGTGTATAGTACGCGGGAGGGTTCATTCCTTTCCCGTCGGGGCCTGTCACGAGCCCTGTGGTTGGCCCAGGCACGGGCGCTGGAGGTGTCGGGTAGTAACTGTTGACCGTCTCTTCATAGGATGGGGGTGCACTTGGCATTGAGGAAGGCCCAGCAGCCGCCTGATAGGGTCCCGGAGCTGACATTTTCACCTAAGACAAAAACAGAAGATACCAGAATCAGAAATTCCATAGATAGCTCTCTCTTTCTGTCCTTCCCCTTAATCTGTCCTTTTCACCCTGTCAAACAGAAAACCTGAAGGAATTAACTCGTACCCAGCCTCGCCCCAAAGCCAGAAAGGGAGCCTTTCAATGCCCCTTCAGCGTCCCCAAATCATCAACTTAACAAGGGATCCTCAAATAAACATGACAGGTGAATAACTACAACCCCAAATCATCGAAACCTTTACAATCCCAAGGGGAAGCATCAACTGAACTGAAACAGAAAACTCTTCACCCCACAATGACCTGTCTTGAAAATCTAGTGTTTTTTCCCAAGCTATGTGGTTTTTACTGACAGTGTTTCAGGTGATGGAAAAGAAAAACCGCAGACTATGGCAAACACGATGCTGATCAAAAGCTGCCACACACAAAAAATACACCCTGTCGTCCGCTGCAGCACCATTCACAACAGCCTCAGTGTCCGTCAATGGGTAAACTGTGGTCTAGCGAACAACGGAGGAATTCTCAGCCATAAACAAGGTCCTGACGCCTGTCACATGGATGGACCCTGCGTGAAATAAGTCACCGAAGGACAAATACCATATGCTCCCACTGAGATGAAACAAGCAAAGGACAGAGACCAAAGATGACCAGCGGTTACCAAAGGAGTGGGAGGGAAAACAGGGAGAGTCACTTCTTAGAGGACACTGAGCTCCTGCTGAGGGAGGTGGAAGAGTGGCCGAGGATAGCGGGAATGGCGCACAAACGATGAATGCAATCAATGCCACCTAATTCTACGTGTGAAAAACAGTTGAACGGGAAAATGTTCTGTTACCACACACACAAATCACCTCAGAAATGGTCAAAATGACTCCATGGGGCTGGGAGTCAGGAAAGTGGTTATCACTGGAAGACAGAGTCAACCTGAGAGAGGACGGGGAGGGGGACTGGGGGGGGTAGTCACACTGTTTCTTCCTCCAGGGTTGGACACAGGGGTGCATCACTTTGTGGAAATTCAAGTTGTACAATTAAGATTTGGGCACTTGTAGTATGTATGTTACCGTTGTTTTTTTTAAAGTACACACACACACACTCACAGCAGTTCCCCTTCTGAAAAATGAGTACAAGAGCCGGGACCGATTTCCTTTGTGAGGGCAGAGAAAGGCTTTTGTTTGCCCAGCAAAGCCGGTGCCCGCCTCAGATTACAGCACCTGTACCCAGGGTGTGTTCCTGTCCAGAGTTCCATGTCACCACCACCTCCAGGCCACAAAGAGCTGTCTTTTGTGTGGCTGTTGTCTCAACTGGGTAGGGCTAGGCCGCATTAGAGAATCCATTCAAACCATCTCCGGAGAGTGGGGGGGGAGGGGAGGGCAAGGGCTTCGTGCCAGGGCCCGGGATCGGATGGAACCCATGGGGAGCAGAAGCAGCCATTAATTCTGCTGCGTGTTGAAGGGAAGTCTCCTGTGAGGAAGCCCTGCCTCTAAACCAAACTCGAAGGAAGAGATTTCTCCGAAGGAACAGAACGTGGAAACAAACAGAGGCCCAAGGAAGAAAACTCGTAAGACAAAGTCAATAAATAAAGCAAGACAGGTCGCCGGGCCGTGTTCTAGAAACTCTGAAAGCCCTTTAGAGATGTCTTGACTTTTCTATAAGCCTGTGCTGTGCAAGGAATTTTCTGGGCCTATGGCAACGATGCCCAATATGGTAGCCGCTGGCCACCGGTGGCTGCTGCAACAGAGGAACTGAACTTATAATTGTACGTAAGTTTAAGCAACAGCCAAAAGGTGGGAACAGCCTAAATGTCCATGCATGGAAGAAATGGATACACAAAACGTGGTCCACACACCCCATGGACGATGACACAGCCATGAAGAGAGATGCAGCCCTGATCCACGCTATGACATGGATGAACCTAGAGAGTGTCACTCACCAAAGGACAAACACTGCATGGTCCATCCCACTCATAAGAAATATGTAAGTTACTATACAAAACATTGTTCCACCTACTACTTTGGCGAGTAGCGACTGGGACCTTAAAAGCTAGGAAGCTGCCATCTAGATGCAACAATGGGTCTCTCCTCATCAAGAAGAAAGAAGAAAAGCAAAATTAATGGAAACAATCAGTCCCAGCGACTGGTACACCATCCGATCTGCAACCTATACAACTATGAGACCAGAAGAACTAGATGGTGCCCAGCTACCACTGCCATCCACTTGGAAGGGATGTAGGAGATCCTGCATAAAGAGGGAGAACAATGTGGAACAAAACTCAAAATCGTTTGGAGGCAAAAAAAAAGAAGGTGGGGACCAGGTTTGCTGGTCCAATAGAGCCTGGTGTAACCACTGAGACTATGGCCCCTAGTTGCCCTTCAGGTCTGGAATTGAACCCACAACTGTGGTTTCCAGCCAAACAAAGTACAGGCATGTGAGTTAAACATTTACCTCAAGTAGACACACGCCCTGGAGAGAACAATCATGGGAGAAGGAAGGGCTGCTTATGCACAGGGAGACAGCTCAGGGTGCAAAAGAGTATGAAGGGATGGACACTGGGAGGAGGTAGCTATGGGGAGGAAGTGGGAGGGAAGCTGCTGCATTGTAAATTTTGGTCAATGACATGAGACAAAGTATATGTGAACTGCTGTATGAAAAGTGAATTTACTCTGTAAATCTTCACCCAAATCCTAATAAAAAAAAAAAAAAAAAATATATAAGATACGCGAGTGTAGAGAGACCAAAGCTGGCTAGTGGTTCTCGGGGATGGGCAGGAGGGCGCAAAGAAGGAGGACCTGATGCTTAGGGGACACTGAGCTTCTGTGGAGGGGGGTGCGGAAATTCGGGAACGGTTAAAGGCGACAGCCGAGTGACACGGTGAACGTAATTAATGCCACTGAACTGTCCATGGAGACTCCTGACAAGGCAAATGTTTTGTTACCTATGAATTTACCACAATAAATAAAATGAAAATTCAATAAATTTAAAAACTGATATTCAATTCAATCATTGGACATCTTTTAAGGAAGTCTGGGGCAACTTGGGTATGTGAATCTACTTTTGTGACAGTAAAATTACTGCCACAGAAGGTTAGCAGTGCAAACCCACCAGCTGCCCTGAAGAAGAAAGGCGAAGCCATCTACCTCTGTAAAGACTTACTGTCTTAGAAATCCAATGGGGTTACTGTAAATTGGAATTGACTTGATGGCAGTGGATTTTAGTTTTATTTTTTTAAACACAGATAAAATATTTCTGATAAAAAAAAATAGAGCATCCAATTTGGGGCATGAGATCAATGTAAAATACACACTGGATTTCAAAGACTTTGAGAAAATGAAAGTACAGTATCGTGATAATGAATTTCATATTGATTACACATTGACATAATGATATTCTAGATACACTGAGTTAAGTAAAAAATATGCTATTAAAATTTTTCACCTGTTTCTTTCTTTCTTTCTTTTTTTTGATGTGGCTACTAAAAATTTTCAAACTACATCTGTGACTGGCTTTATTGGTCCCATTTTCCTCCTGTCAAACAGAAAATCTGAAGGAATTACCTTGTACCCAGCCTCATCCCAAAACCAGAAAGGGAGCCTCTCAATGCCCCTTCAGGTCCCCAAATCATCAACTTAAAAAGGTATCCCCAAATAAACATGACAGGTGAATAACTACAACCCCAAATCATCAAAACCTTTACAATCCCAAGGGGAAGCATCTACTGAACTGAAAGAGAAAACTCTTCACGATGACCTGACATTGCTAGGAGCACTGGGGAGCCACCGAAGGTTACAGAACAAGGGTGGATAAGCCGTCTGTAAGAGAAGTAAGCACTGTGCAGGGACCTTGCATGAAAGTGGAAGTGGGAAGGGGAAGTCAAGGCTATCGAGGAAGGTTAAGCACAAGGGCAGGAAGAGTTTGACAAGATCACAGAAGACTTTTGTTGGAACAGGTTCAGAGTTTAATAAGGAGACCGCATGTGAAAAGTGGTTTCTCTCAAGGCCGTTGCTGGTTTCTGCCGCCATTCAGAGCAGAAGCGCAGACAAAGGCCCATCATCGGCCCGGGCTGAACCTCACCACCTACGTCAGCTGAGGTTCCTCCCCGCAGTGCCTGCCACCCCCTGCATCTGCTGCTGGGCTCCTGGGCTTGCAGGGAGCTGAGGAAAAGGGAAGGACGCAGGCGCCTTGCTGCTGCGGGGTAATTTACATCCGTCCAGGACTCGAAGAACTCGCTGTCCCTTCCTGTTTCCGGAAGGGACTGCAAAGGCAGGCTCAGAGCTGCCTACAAGATTGATTTTGAAAACCAACTCATATGAAAAATTACAAGAACAGAATACGCCGATGCGCTCCGGCAAACCCCACACAGTACTGTCTGCTGTGGTTGCAGGCGGGGTGCTAGGGCGGGCACAAGGTCTCAGGGCGCCCGGGGTTGTGCAAACAGTTTGGGTAAAACTGCTGAGAAGCAGTGACTCCACGGAGTTCCTCTTCCCAAACCGGCCTCTCTCCTCCAGAAGTCAGGAAGTGCTGCCAGAACCTGGGTTTCAAAAAGCAACCGTGCAGGTGTCGGGGGCAGGGGAGCCCCTCTTTCCAGGACCTCCTAACGGAGGAAGGGCCTTCTTGCTTTACAAATTAAGGCAAGGGGCCCCCCAGGTTACTGATCGGGTATCACTTTTCATGCAGTCACATCCGATTTTTCTGGAACACTGCCTCTTTGGAGTACTTACTGCTTTTGGATCAAACGGCCACCTTAAACCCACTTAAAATTCTGAAAAATATAAGGGCAATATGCCAGTCTTGTAAAAACCCCATAACCAGCTGGGTTGACAGTTGTCTAAATAAATTCCACAGCTCTCCTGCCCCAAGGCCTGGAGCCAGGAAATGCCCCTTCAGTCAGCCTCCGTGCTTTTCAGTGTGGCTTCTCCCAGGGCAGGCAGCTCACCTGCCCACCCCCGCCACCCCTCAGAAAAGATCTGCTCAGCTCTCCTCCAGCCCCC